TTACAACGACTTCTCGGAGTGCGTATGTGTGCATGTGTGTGTGTGTGTGTGTGTGTGTATTCTATATATACACTTAAAATGCATTTAAGTAATAATTTCCTTCGTTTTTTTCCGTATGGGTGATCTTTTTATACAGGCAAAAAAATGTCAACCTTATACGTGAAAGCATGATCTTCATATGCAGCATATGCATGCCATGTCTGTAAGTGAGCTTGACAGAAACCTCTTCGATTGTCGATTAGGCATTTGTTATATGGTATTATTGACAATAATACCATAGTCGACAATGACTGATGGTGGCCTTCAATATGATACTTATACCTGCCATATGTTGTGCTTCCTTCTGTACGACCAATTTTAGAAAGAATGTTTAATAAAAACATATTAGAACCAATGATTGTTTTAGTTGACTATCCATGCATTATCCCTTGTAAGTTTTCTCAAATGCCCCTAGCATGCAAGCAAGGGTCATTTCTGCAAATGAGTGAAACCGATTTTTGCGACACCGATGATTTTTGCAACATTTGTTGGCTCTACAGACTCTCATAAAATCAGGTTGACTTTATATATATACATTTTTCAATATATTACAAACTCTGAACGAAACCTACTTCAAAAAAACAGTTAATGAAACGACGGATGAAAGCGGCAACGTCCTTCTCAGATACTTGCACAGCTGTGTTTTCTCCATATCTATTTTTTTGTTTTTCTGGAAGGACAAACGCTATAAAGATATCAGCTTAAGACAGTATCATTCTGAAAGGCCTTTGGATTATCAAAAGTTATTATTCACCTTGTCTGGATGCCTCCGAGATTTTAAGGCAAAGGCTTCAATCCTGCTAAAGCTGTAGGAACATCCGGCACTGTAAATATTTCAATATTGTGTTTACTTGATTTTCAGCCTCTATATGAACACAGACTCCCTGCCGTTGTGTTTGAATTGATAGAGCACATACCATGATTGGCTAATGTAACAGCTGTCAACTATCTGACATGAATTAAACGAAACAGATGCTAGGGAAATAAATCGAAATACATATATATATATATATGTATGCATATATATATATATATATATATATATATATATATATATATATATATATACATACACACAAGTGTATGTGTGTCTATATAGACATAGACACACACACACACACACACACGCACACACGCACGCACGCACGCACACACACACACACACACACACACACACACACACACACACACACACACACACGCACGCACACACACACACACACACATATATGGATGGGTGCTTGCAGCTGCCACCGCTGACTATCCTAGTGCGAAAAAGGGAGCAGCTCTGCATAAGCCTCTCCGTCATCGAAACTTCTGCAGTGGCTTCTCGTGGCCACCCATGGAAACTGGGCGCCTTGCGGTCCCAGGATAAACTGTGGGGCGTATCGGAAAAGCAGGAGGCCGCAGAGGTATGGAGCCATGGCCCACCCTTGTGTGGACACGCCCTGGCTCCAAACCAACTCCTGCCCCTTAGCCGCCCTGGGATTAATGGGCGGCTCGGGGGAGGTGGGTATTGCCAGCCCTCCACCCTCGAGATAACTCACCGGCAACAACCAAAATATGCTGGGGGAGGGCTTCTGTCCCTCCCACACAGCAAGTGAGGCCTGTGGGGGAGAGCTCAAGGGAACCCCACAGGTGGACGTTGGGCCTCACAGCCTGCAGACCCCCTTTATTTGGAGCAGCCTTGGCGGAGGTGGCAGAGGTGGCGTCCACCCAGAGCGACTACCCGAGGCTTAACCTCAGGCGAGCTATCTGCATAGGCATTTGAAACATCGGTCCATGCGGCAGGAAGAACAGTTACCTCTGCTGTCGAGGGAATCGGAGCAGTTGGGAAAAGCGATGGTCATCACCTCCAGGGAGTAGCCATAGCCATCTCCAGTCAACTTCAACCCTCGGTAGTTGAAGTAACACCGGTTGATGAGCGTTTTATGGCGTTGAGACTTGAGTATGCTTTTGGCTTTGTGCCTCTTATTACTGCGTACGCTCCTACCAGTATTTGCAAACTCAATGTGAAAGAGACGTTCTATGCCAAACTCACATCCATGGCAGACAATTGTCCCCAGCGAGACATATGCATTGTTCTGAGTGACTTCAATACAGTATCTGGCTGTGACTGAGCTGCTATGATATGTCTGTTGGGCCCCATTGCTTGGGAGCTGATCCCGGTAGTGAGAACAGCCTTTGCTGGTATCAGGACTCTAACCCGCATTACTGGACATGGTATAGTTATATGGGTGTTGTGGACAAGGAGATCAACCACATTGTTGTCAGAGCTCAATGGGGGATTCTCCAGAATTACAGGGTTTATCAGAGTGCCGAGTTCTGTGGCACTGACCAGAAGCTGGTAGTGGTTACCCTATGGATCCTATGGATTCAAAACTCCTCGACCCTCCAGTGGACACTCAAGGCTGTTTCACTTGGACAGACTGAAGAAGGAGTGTGCCACAGGTTTGCCACGGCAGTCTCTGATCGATTCATTGAACCTGAAAACCTGATGGACCCAGTTGCTCTGGGTCCCTCAAGCACAAAACACTTGAAGCAGTGCAGGAGTTCAATGGCGTACACTCGATGTCAAGGCAGAATTTCATCTCCCTGGAGACATTGGAAGTCCCTGAAGCATGTTGCATGGCTCAGCTGAATGGCAATCAGGACTTGCGGTGCTTTTTGGTTTGTAGGGCTCAGACACTACTGAGAAGGGGCACAGAACAGTTCATCAGGAATCTTTTTGAGGAGGATGAAGTCCATTTCTTGGTAAATATCCTTCACCCTGTCTACCAAGCCCTGAGAAAGAAGAATTCTAAGCCCTCCTCGCAGATGACTGCAGTCCGTTCACTGGATTAACAGATCATCTCAGATCATGTTGGGGTTCATGAACGTTGGGCAGAGTATTTTAAGCAGCTCTACCATATGGACCCTTCAACAGATAGCTTGGATGCAAGTGGTATTACAATACCTGTCTCAAACCCACCCATCAGCGAGGAACCTCCTACCCTAACTGAGGTTAGGATGGCAATTTCCAAGCTGAAGTGTGGGAAAGCCAGAGCAGTCTGGACTCACTCCTGGTAATTTCACAATAGACTGTATAATAGCACTTTGAGTAATTGTGGAATGCTGTTGTGAGTTCGGTCGTGGGTTGCTTGCAGCCTACATCGACCTCAAGAATGCATTTGAATTGGTGCATCGAGAATCTCTGTGGTAGATTCTGAGATTAAGGGAAATTCTGACAGAGATTATTGGCCTAATAGCAAGCCTATATACTGGTACTGAAAGTGCTGTAAAGTGTGGTGGGGGTCTGCCAAACTTCTTCCCTGTTAATTCAGAGGTGAAGCAAGGCTGTGCCCTTGCATCAACGCTTTTCAATACCTGCATGGACTGCATAATCAGCAGAGCTACAATCCAAAGTCAATGTGGTCACAGACCTTAATTATGCCGATGATGTTGTTATCCTATCTGAGTCTCTGGAGTCGCTGGTGGTGGCCCTTGATGCATCAACAATGAGGCAAAGCCCTTGGGCCTAGAGGTCTCCTGAACCAAGACCAAGATTCAAGACTTTGTTAGGAGAACCCTTTCAATTGATACACGCTTAGGGGGAGGATGTTAAAGCCACAGAGAGCTTTACATACCTTGGTAGCATAATCCATAACTCTGGGGTATCATACCAAGAAATCAGCAGATGGATTGTACTGGCAGCAGGAGCCATGAACTCAATCAACAAGAGTATTTGGAGATATTGGTACCTATGCAGAAAGACCAAGCTACGTGTCTTCAAGGCTTTGATACTGCCAGTTTTGCTCTATGGAAGATAAAACTGGATGCTATTTAGTAACTTGGAGTCTCGCCTTGATGCTTTTTGTGACAACTAGATCATGGGGGCAGTTGGCAGGACCGTGTGTCCAACCGACGGCTACACTGTGAGACAGGCATGGAACCTATTACTTTCATAATCCCGGATCGCTAACTCAGGCCATATGGGCATCTAACTCGTTTCCCCTTAATGATGATGATGATATATGTGTGTATAAATATATACATATATATAAACATATATCCTCATCATCATATACATATACATATATATTTTACATGTATAAATCTATTTATACATATATAAATGAATATTTATATATGTAGATATATACATATATATTTATATACATATATAGATTTGTGTGTGTATATATATAATATATATATATATATATATATATATATATATATATATATATATATATATATATATATATATATTATATATATATTATATATAAAGAATATATATATATGATATATACAAATAATATATATATTTCATATATATATATATATATATATATATATATATATATATATATATATATATATATATATATATATACATATATATATGTATATATATGTATATATTATATATATATATATATATATATATATATATATATATATATATATATATATATATATATATGTATATATATGTATATATTATATAGATATATATATGCATATATATGTATATATTTTATATATATATATATATATATATATATATATATATATATATATATATATATATATATATAGTAAAAAAACCCACAATGTAAAAACTAGATTTATTGAATTTATTTCTACATTGTGGGTTTTTCTACCATAGTATCAACACGATAGAGTGTTGTCATCATTCATATATATATATATATATATATATATATATATATATATATATATATATATATATATATATATATATATATATATATATATATATATATATATATATATATATATATATATTTATATACAAGGGGGCTTCAAAAAGTTCATGGAAAAAGTCCATAACTAAAGATAATATGGAAGGATTTTGATTTCAATGCACCTGAACATTATTGTACCAATGTGTTATAACTTTTTCAAACATGAACCCTTAAATGCAGGTAATAACGCATTGCTGGCAGTTGGAA